GAAAAAAAATTGTACCCCTCCCCCCCTTAGTCCTCCGTATCCAATTTTTGGGCTACCCCGCATTTTTACTAAGCATAAAGAATTTTTTTTTGTTGGTCCCTGGTCATTTTGACTACGGGGCAATGAACAGGCAGACATGCTGCGGGGTTTAGCAGTACATACCTCCCCGTTTTTATGGGTATTCCATGTAGGGGACTATTTTGCTGATACTTCCCCCCTTTTCAACCGTTGGCAACAACTTTGGGTTACTATGTCGGCAAAAAACTTCGTTAAAAAACCGATATATTTTAGGGCCCGCCCTTCTTATCACCATGTCGAGGTTGGGAGACTACTCTCTCCCGTCTTCCATTGGCCCATACTGTCTTCCATGGATATCTCATGGAGACTCTTGTCCTTCTGTGAAAATTTCCCAAAGCCCATTATCACACCACTTTCTGTTGGACTGCCCATTTATAAACAGCACCAGAATTTCCCTCTGTCGCGTCTTCCCCCCGTGCCTCTCTTTCCCTTTCCCTTCTCGCTGATGGCCCCCCTTTTCACCCGGACCCCCTTTTTTGACTTTTTGACAACGCTGACTTATTTTCACAAATTCTGTTAACTTTCGCCCTTTCACTTGTATCTTTTGCCCCCCTCACCCCCTACTACCCCCCTCCGCTGTTTTCTGTAACCTGGATCATCCCCCCCCCTCCTCCCTTTTCCAAATTCCCTTCTTCCTTCCCTACCCTGCAGCGCGTATACCCCCTTGTGGCTTAGGCTTCTTTTTTGATTAAATAATAATAAAATAATATATGAAATTTTACACAGGGAAATCTAATATTACTATGCATAATAAAAGAATGGAAATAAAACAATTAAAAATCAATTCCCGTCCATGACCTACTGCTTTAGCCCCCAAAAGGTGTCTGAGGAAGACACTATCATAACAGTTCACCCTGAAATAATAACATAAAGGCAATATAGGAATTTTCCACCATTCCTTCTCATAAACCCAATGTAACATCACTATATAGTTTGCCCAATTATTTTATATAATATTTGCTACACAAAAGTTTAGCAAAAAAAATTCTGAAAAAGGGTTTAAATTTTCAAAATCAGCAGCGTATTTTTTATGGTCGTGTGTGTGATCAATGTAAAAAAAATTATCAGAGAAAATCTTATACTAAAAATTTTGTTGGTTGGGTTTAACATATAACTTTAAACCAATTTTAAAAAATGATATGAAAATATTTTCTTTTTGGGGGTTTTTTTTTTTCTTTTTTTTTGGGGTCACCCTGCCCCGGGGGGAAACCCCCGACTTGTTTAAAAAAAAAAAAAAAAAAAAAAACAGTTACTTTCTGGTTTTTTATGCCCCAATTCCAACAAAGCTTTCCAAACGATCCCCGCACGAACAGCTTGAGCAAGGTAGAGCCTTTTTTTAAACAGTGGTTTTAAAATTCCCGAACCAGGGCCATTCTGTTTTTTTGGACCGTCAATCAAACCCCATCCATGGTACTGTATAAAATAGGCTTTCATGGGCCAAAGATCTATAATTAAATGCAGTTTCAATTAAAACAAATATTACAGTTTTATTTCCAAGGTTTCATTAAAATAACAAAACATTTGTGTAAAAAAAAAAAAAATTCTCTTGTGGCCTGGGGGGAGAAGCTCTCATTCAATGCAAGGGCCCGGTTCGATTTTCACGAGGGAGAAACATTGGGCATGTTTTTTTTACACCAGTTGCTATGTTCCCCATCAGTAAAATGGGAACCGGATTTGTACTGGTTTGGGGCGCATCCTGGGAAAAAACGCCTAATTTGCCTGAAATGCTCTGCATAACAAAGGGCTTGTTTTATTGTAGATGCCCTGATGTCAGTTAAGGGCTGTATACCTTTTACATGTACTTTTGGGAAATGAAATAAATTTTTATTTATTATAATTTAAAGGGAAAAAAGTGTTAAAATAAGTATTTACAATTTTGAAAGAAAATAACTAAAAAATAATAAAATTACATTATTGAAATTTATGACCCTAAAAAACGGAATAGTATATTAACAGTGGGGGGTGTTAGCAGAGTAACACCACCTTTACACACAAAACAAAAAGCATACAGAGTATTTAAAAAATTTTTTTAAAGTAGTTCCCAAGCACCCCATTCACCCTTTAAAATTTAATGAATGAAAAAATCTTGAAACCGCAAATTAAAAAACTGAATGCAAAATCCTCAAGGGGGGATTCGCATTACCTCTTCCTTGGCAAAAATCAACATCTGCACTTGGGAAGACGGGGGTTGGATAAGTAGCCCTTGTTGCCGAGATGAACCCCCCGCATTCCATTTTTCCCCCTTCAGATTTACCTTTCTATATAACCCGATTCTTCCCTCTTGTGGCTCACCTGAAAATACAAAAACCGACAAGATTACTGTTTTTCCCCTACTTGTCACACTATTTAGTCACAAATTTCTCATTACGTAATACCCCCCTACAAGGACCGCCCCCCGATACCGAAACCAAAGATAGCAGCAAACCTAATAAAAATCCTATACATACCTATTTTAAGTTTAATTGAAAATTATGCACAATAAGTGGAGAAGTTTCAGTTTTTCACTGATGGGAAGCCTTCACTGCAAAACACATGCGACTCGCCCAAAATTATTCGTTACACAGAAAAAAAACAAGAACAAAACCCTCATCTAAACCCCGTCATTTCTTTTAAAAAATCTACTTCCCATTATGGGAAAATTTGAAATGTTTAAACATGCCGTCATCTAGAAACAATGGTTTTTACGTGTAATAATCTAGATGTTTCTCCTGTAAACTTTTTTCCTTGTAAAAATTTAAAAACAATGGGGTTTTTTAACCCCCCATGATTCATCAATTTCATGAAGTAAAACAAAAAAATTTTTCTGTAAAACTAAACAGTACACACACATTTAAAACTTCTTCCCCCCAACTCTTTAAATCACTCATCTTATATTTTCCACTCGAATATTTTTTATGCATCACAATGCTTGCTGGTCACCAACTCTTCTGTTTCTTTTTACAATTTTTAAAATTTAAAGAATGCTAATTTTTAATATAGTAAGAAAAATTTTTTACATAAATTTTTTATAATCTTAAAAAACAGCCCCAAACAGTACGTATAGAGTACCTGAGGGCCCTGAAGTGTCTTTTCATCAAAGGGATCACCACGACAAAGCCTTGAGCCGTCGAGGATCTCTTCACGAATTTCGAAAAATGGACTCTGCCAAAAGTTCTGGAGCCACGCACAGTTTGTCCCTTTTGCTAAACACGCGATTGGCAAGCCAACAGCCTCACCACAAGAAGTTTATAATTTTTCTAAATTATTTTTTATTAAAAAAAGCTATTGTCTAAAAAAACTATTGAAAATAATGTATAAAAAAAAATAAGGGAAAAAACAAGTTTTAATTTAAAAAGTTTTAAGATCCTGAGCAAAAGTTTTGTTAACAATTTAAAATAATTACATTCAAAAAAAACCAGGGGAAAAAAAAAAAAATAGACCGTGAAAATATAAATGCATTTTAAAATTTTAACATGGTAGCCAGTTTTAAAATTATAGGCCCTGCCTAACCATTACCATCCCTCATTGTGGCCTGGGAGGCCCAGCAACCTCTCAAAATTTATACAATATACCCAGTTCGTAATCTTTATTAAACCCCAGGTTTCAGTGGTTAGTGCCCCTTGCCCGCTTTTTTAGCGGCTTGCCTGGAATCTAATTACCATTTTTTAATAACTCCCAAATGCCCACAACTGTATTACACAAATCTGAGTTTTTTTTACAAATTATTTCTTTTTAAACCGGCTGCACTCTATAATAAAATTTTAAATTTTAACCCTGTTTAAATTTTTATGCAACTAACTTAACACTAAAAAGCTCCTAGACAAATAACAAACTTTTCGTTGCCACAGCTTTACACACAAACCCCTGGGCTCTTGCCCCCCAACTCCATTGTCAACGCTTTAATTCACAATGCTGCTTGATTACCTTCGTCCTACTGCAGAAACCAGGAAGTACCCCTGTGCATTACTGCTACATAAAACTGATCAAACTGAACAAACCAAGAAAACAACAAATTTAATACACAAAGCATAATTAAACACAATCTACAAAAAAAATTTAAATTTATTCATGAACAAATTTTAAAATTACAAGGGTTTATAGAATGCCCTACAACTAGTAGTCCATCAGTAACAGACTGTCGTTATCATCACTACTATAACGCAACACCTGACCAAAACAATTTAAAAATTTTCTGTCAATTTTTATTAGATCTACCCTATTTTCTTTTTTTACCGTTACCACACACTTTAATATTTTTTTTTACACAGGCTGTTTTCCCACATTTTACCTCTTTTTTCCCTTTTTTCTCCTGAATTCCCAATTACCTTACTTCCTCACCCATAAGCAGCTTTCTTACCTTTCACTGTCAAATCATTTCATGTGCAGCTGCTAATTACACCACCTTTCAACTCTTAATTACCACATACCCTTTATACAATCACTTGGCCATAATTCCTAGTCTGGATAACATGACAATGATATGACTTAAACACAATTTCTTTACTGCATTGGCATCCACTATCACCATCAGTTACCCATTTCTTTTGATATCGTAAGTGTTTTCTGATCACTTCCACTTGATAAAACCTACCTAGGAGTCTAGTGTAGCACCCATGCCATCAGTTACACTCTAGAGAGGGTGTATTAATGAAGCTATGAGAGGAAGGGGTACACTTCATTACAATCTCTTTCTCTTTTAACCCACAGTGGCAGGACACTGCTCTCCACTGAAAACTTCTCTCGATATATTTTTTTTTTAATCTTTAATAGCTTGTGTAGTGTTATTAATCATGATACTCCTACAATGTAAATTTTTTTTAAATGATCTGGGGATCAATAAATTACTTATCATTTCAACTTATCTTCTCACTGCTCCTTGTAGCTGAAACTTTAACTGACCTCTCCACACATGGCTTGTATCTATCACATTAAGCCTAGAATACATTATGCTACCAAGTGTCAGTGAAGTCTACTCAATTTTTCTAGGTATGTGAAGATAACTTACCTTGTCAATATTTAGGTGATTAGCAATAGCATGGCCAGCAACATTTCCCATGCCAGGAACAATGTTGATTACACCAGGAGGGAAGCCAGCCTGTAACAAAATTAATGACTATGTTTTAAATTACGTATCCATATAACTTAACTATAAAAAGTCCTCAATGAGAAGTAACAGTCACTTAATCAGATACTCATTACATTACTGAGTGAAATCTGGAAGGAATCCACTACCCAAGACCCACTTCAGGCACCACTACCAAAACCTCCATCCTTAATTTTCATCTCTACTACCATAGCTTGGTGGCCAAAGTACTTAAGTTGCAATCTGTAAATTCCTAGGTTGAATTCCCAGGCCCAATGAAATGCACCGGCAAATTGTCTTACACCCATTGCCCATGTTTGCCTAGAAGTAAAAATTGGAAATGGGTGTTAATCAACTGTTATGACTCACATCCTGGGAAAAAAATTGCTTTGCAACTGTGTAACATTGCTATGCAAAATAAAAGAGAAATTCCAATCCTACTGGAAGGATTCAAATATAAGATAAAGGTCTTTTATTTTTTTTATTATACAAGATTTTATGCAAGCCATACTAATGCCACACCAAATTTAGAAAAAACGTTCCTCAGGGTGCTGCAGTGATCTCAAAAAAACTCATTACATAAATTTTTTATATACTAAAGAATATTTTACAGGTTAATTAATGTTGCACAGAAATACAGTACTTTTGAAAATTTGTATTAAACAAGAAGGATAACTTATGACATACTGGCAAGCTAGATTATTCATAACAAGACAGTACTAACCACAGAATGGCTGGAGCTCTAACCCATGACAAGCAAGTCAACCTCATCTGTTGAGTCAATTGTTTGCAATTGTGTTATCACAGTTTCACAAGTTATACAGTGCTGGTTTGAGAGGTAAGGACTTCAATATTCAAGAGACCAATGTTAGCATGTTAGACTGAAGTGAGAATTTTACCACACTAAAAGTAATAAGTTATGTAAATATAAACACATATGCAGTATAATGTGATCCTTTATTGACAGCGTTTTGCCCACACAGTGGGCTTTTTCAAGTCAGATCTGTTTGTGACTTGAAAAAGCCCACTGTGTGGGTGAAACGTTGTCAATAAAGGATCACATTATACTGCATATGTGTTTATATTTCCAGTGTGTCGGTATTTTATACCATTTATTTCCAATAAGTTATGTAGTCAATGTAGCAGCAGAACTGCAAGTGTATGATTGTCAGTTCAGTCCCCAGTACTCTTTATACAATATGTCAGAATGAAGTGAAGGCAAGTATGAGATCTTTGAAATTCTGTGTGTTATTGGCACGTGTTACAAAAAAGAAGTCAGTGAAGCGTGTTAGCCTGACTGAAGGTTTGGAGGTGGGCAAGTATACTTTGGCAGCACCTTGAGAGCTGGGTTGGGATGCAGTTGTACAAGTCATAAGCAGGTCTCCTAAAAAAAAAAAAAAAAAAACATAGGCAGCAAATACAGTGGACCCCTGGTTAACGATATTTTTTTCACTCCAGAAGTATGTTCAGGTGCCAGTACTGACCGAATTTGTTCCCATAAGGAATATTGTGAAGTAGATTAGTCCATTTCAGACCCCCAAACATACACGTACAAATGCACTTACATAAATACACTTACATAATTGGTCGCATTCGGAGGTGATCGTTATGCGGGGGTCCACTGTAATAGTGTTTTCTTCTTTATGTAACTCTTCTTTGGTGGAAACTTCAAATGCTAAAAAAAAAATTGTTCTGCAAAATACCACCAAAAAGCTTCACATTTCCAAAGAATTCTTCCTTTGTAAAGTATTTAATAATAGCTAGAATGATGGACTCATCAAAATATTGAGAAAAATAGCAAAAATTTTAATTTTAAAATAGCACATAAATGTACACATCATGTTTCTACATTCAAATTTATTGCCTCTCACCTCTTTAACAAGTGCACCTATATACAGAGAGCTGATGGGAGTGAGCTCTGCTGGTTTGAGAACAATGGTGCAGCCAACAGCAAGTGCAGGTCCCCACTTCCAGGCCAACATCATAACAGGATAATTCCAAGGAATGATCTGTCCAACTACACCTACAGCTTCACGCCGGGTCAGGCACATGTAGCCACCATCTGTTAAACATCCCTTGTGGTGGCTCATTTGACATAGAAAAGTTAGTCAAGTCTTGACATAATTACTACACCATAACAATCAGAAAGCTCTTGATAGCTTTTGTTTATAAACAGTAAAAGCCCCAAAATTCTTCTGATCAGTCAAGAGTAAATTATACTGTTCATCTCATTTTGACTGCCTAATATAGATTCTGGATAAAAACTATTCCCTCACTAAAGGAGGAAACTGGTGAGGAATTTTTTTTTTATTAACACATTGGCCGTTTTCCACCAAGGCAGGGCAAGCAACCCGAAAAAAAAAAAACACTTTCACCACTGTCTTGCCACAGCGCTGGACTCAAGTCCAGCTAAGTGGTTTCTCTGAATCCCTTCATAAATGTTACCCTGCTCACACTCCAACGGCACTTCAAGTCATAAAAGCCATTTGTCTCTACTCGCTCCTATTTAACATGCTTATGCACACTTGTTGGAAGTTCAAGCTCCTTGCATACAAACCCTCCTTTACTGCTTCCCTCCAGCCTTTCCTAGGATGACCACTACCCCACCTTCCTTCCACTACAGATTTATTTGCCCTCCAAGTCATTCTATTTTGTTCCAGCCTTTCTAAATATCCAAACCACCTCAACAACCTTTCCTCTGCCCTCTGGATAACACTTTTAGAAACAATTGTTGGAACACTTCACATCAAACCCACAATGGATATAAATGGTATAAAATACCAACATGATGGAAAAATAGACACAAATGCAGTATAATACACTCCTTTATTGGCTATGTGTTGCCCACACAATGGGTTTTATTAACCCTTAAACGGTCCAAACAGATCGACGTTCAAATCCGTAGTGCTACAAAAGTAGATCTACTTTTTTTACATATTTTCAAATATAAAAAAAAAAAATGTAGATAAAAGTTTTTTTTACACGTTTTCAAATGTAAAACAAAAAAGAAGATCTACATTTTTTTACATACTTTCAGATGTTGAAAAAACGTATATATACGTTTGGACCATTTAAGGGTTAAGTCACAAACAGACCTATCTGTGACTTTATAAAGCCCACTGTGGGCAAAATGGTGTCAACAAAGGATCACATTATACTGCATTCATGTCTATTTTTTCACAAACCCACAAGCTGAAAATAAATCTTTACACTTTCAGTTCATGATGGACCATGTGGTTATAATGGCCAGGATGGAGTGACATGTCACATAAAAGATATATTTCCAATTTGAAGGTTATTTGTGCTCTAAATGATTCCCACCTCTAACAAATCTCTACTGTATACAAGATGGGTTATGTCAGCAGTGTGTGTAGCCACAACTCACCACAAGGGATAGTGTGGCCATGGATCTTGTCACACCAGCCAGCATAATATTGCAGAGTCTTAATACTGTAGTCCAAATCACACAGAGACTCAGTATATGGTTTCCCATTGTCCAGTGTATCCAGGCTTGCCAGGTAGCATTCGTCCCTCCTCATGAGTTCACATAACTTTTATTAAGAAATTAGATATTTTAAGGATGCTCAACAGGTAGGTGATGGATAATAAGATAAATAAAGGGTAATGGTTAAAATATCATGAAATAGTTCTCTTTTCTAGAGGGCTTTGGCATCAGACTATTTTGATATTAGTGGCAATGTAAGTACAGGATGGCTCTGCTTTACAGTGTTTTGCTAATACAGCCTCTCCTCACTTAAAAACGGAGTTCCATTCCTAAGACCACATTGGTAAACGAATTCGTCACTAAGTGAGGAGCATAATATAATGGTAGTGGGTCTGTGTCAACCATCTTTGATATTGTGTTAGTGTCACTTTTGCACCATTTATAACATTTCTGGTATATTTTTAAATATTTATACAGTAGTGTACTGTATATTGAAATAAAAAGAATAGAGGAAATCAGCTCTAATATACATTATTTAGGTATGTATACTGGTCTTAGAGCCTGTCCTAAGTCCGTGTTGTTGGTAAACGAGTACGTCGCTAAGTGAGGAGAGGCTGTACAGAGGTTTTCAATTATACTCATTCTTCCTATATTCTGACTTCCTACAATAAATATATTCACCACTCACTATAAGCTAAGAACAAAAATATTTTAAGGTAAATAATGCATATACTGTACATGCATTTTTTAGGCTTAGCCCTAATGCTCACTTAATATATGATAGTAAATATTTTATCAGGCTTTCATAAAAAAATGCATTTAAAAGTGGAAAAAAAAGGGAGAGGGCCATGTTTCACTTTACAGGAGTAGCCCAGAACCTAACTTACTGTTTGCAAAGACATAAAATAAATAAATAAATAAATAATAAGCAGGGCCCTACAGCATCCTGGAAACTAACCTGCTGTGGCCCGGTGGCTAAAGCTCCTGCCTCACACACGGAGGGCCCGGGTTCGATTCCCGGCGGGTGGAAACATTTCGACACGTTTCCTTACACCTGTTGTCCTGTTCACCTAGCAGCAAATAGGTACCTGGGCGTTAGTCGACTGGTGTGGGTCGCATCCTGGGGGACAAGATTAAGGACCCCAATGGAAATAAGTTAGACAGTCTTCGATGACGCACTGACTTTCTTGGGTTATCCTGGGTGGCTAACCCTCCGGGGTTAAAAATCCAAATGAAATCTTATCTTATGTATAAGCAGGGCCCTACAGCATCCTGGTAACTAACCTGCTGTATAAGCAGGGCCCTACAGCATCCTGGTAACTAACCTGCTGTATAAGCAGGGCACTACAGCATCCTGGTAACTAACCTGCTGTACAAGCAGGGCCCTACAGCATCCTGAAAACTAACCTGCTGTATAACCAGGGCCCTACAGCATCCTGGTAACTAACCTGCTGTATAAGCAGGGCCCTACAGCATCCTGGTAACTAACCTGCTGTATAAGCAGGGCCCTACAGCATCCTGGTAACTAACCTACTGTATAAGCAGGGCCCTACAGCATCCTGGTAACTAATCTGCTGTATAAGCAGGGCCCTACAGCATCCTGGTAACTAACCTGCTGTATAAGCAGGGCCCTACAGCATCCTGGTAACTAACCTGCTGTATAAGCAGGGCCCTACAGCATCCTGGTAACTAACCTGCTGTATAAGCAGGGCCTTACAGTAGTCCAGAATCTAACCTGCTGTATAAGCAGGGCCTTACAGTAGTCCAGAATCTAACCTGCTGTATAAGCAGGGCCTTACAATAGTCCAGAATCTAACCTGCTGTATAAGCAGGGCCTTACAGTAGTCCAGAATCTAACCTGCTGTACAAGCAGGGCCTTACAGTAGTCCAGAATCTAACCTGCTGTATAAGCAGGGCCTTACAGTAGTCCAGAATCTAACCTGCTGTATAAGCAGGGCCTTACAGTAGTCCAGAATCTAACCTGCTGTATAAGCAGGGCCTTACAGTAGTCCAGAATCTAACCTGCTGTATAAGCAGGGCCTTACAGTAGTCCAGAATCTAACCTGCTGTATAAGCAGGGCCCTCCTGTAAGTAGGGTTATCTAACTACAGGTACACAAATAGTTACACAAATTAATTATCACACATAGTAACATATGCGTAAATTATCTAAGATAACTGAAAAAATATGCAGCATCTCTTTAAGAAAAACTGGTACTCACCTTATTCATGAGCTGGGCCCTCTCTGAAGCACCCATGGTGCGCCACGGTGAGGTAGGTGAGAAGGCATTACTGGCCGCCAACACTGCTTTATCAACATCCTCCTACAGGCACATGCAATCACACTGTGTCAATCATACACGCTAGGCCTACTCAACATTTTCTTTGGGAAAAGTCATACAATAAGGACCTTCTGTACCTGTTTTTTTCAAAATTAATTTTATTAACACATTACTGTATACTGTACTCTATAAAAGATCAAGAGGAGACACTTAAGATTAAAACAAGATAAAGACAGGCAAACCATGAGACTTACCACGCCAGCCTCGGCTACAGCACAGATGACTTCCTCTGTACTTGGATTGATTACAGGAAAAGTGCGGCCACTTGCTGCATCAACAAACTCATTGTTGATGAAAAGCTGAAAACATATCAATATTTTTAAGTCAATGCACTTGTATAATTTACCTCCAGTGGTTAATGGCTACAATCATATGTACATCAATGTTTTTAATTACACTATCAGTATTTGTTATTCAGACAACATTAATTGCATCTTAAATTATGTATACAAGTCCCTCTTCACCTAGCAGTAAGCTGGTACCTGGGTATTAGGACTGGTGTGGGTTGCATCCTGGGGACAAAATTAACCTAAGTTGCCTAAATTGCTCTAGATAACCAGGGGCTTTCTATGTAGTATGTCACTGATGTCAGCTATGGTCTGTATAAGTTGTATTATATTCCTGAAGAAACAAATTATTATTATTATGTATTATACAGAACTTGTGGAAAGCTTGGCAATCAAATTTAATCCAGAGAAGGAATGACTAGCTCCATTCCATGGATTAAGAGTCCTTAACAAGCATTAATGCCTCTCCTTTGAAGAAATTTATATTTCAAAAAATTTCAAGATATCATGGAGTCAAGTGCATTTAATTCTTTAGATCAAGTATAGAACTGGTGATACAATTTCCCTGGGAAAATTATTCCTCTTTCTTATAGGCCAAAAAAAAAAAATGACAAAAACTTTTTTTTTTATATCAAAATATTTTGAAAATTTGGTTTACCTGGAAAGGGTTTCAGGGGTCAACGCCCCTGCGGCCCGGTCTGAGACCAGGCCTCATGGTGGATCAGGGTCTGATCAACCAGGCTGTTACTGCTGGCCATACGCAAGCTGACGTACGAACCACAGCCCTGTTGGTCAGGTACTGACCTTAGGTGCCTGTCCAGTGCCTTCTTGAAGACAGCCAGGGGTCTATTGGTAATCTCCCTCATGTATGCTGGGAAGCCACTGAACAGTCTTGGGGCCCAGACACTTATTGTGTTGTCTCTCAGTGTACTCGTGGCGCCCCTGCATTTCATCGGAGGAATGTTGCATCTCCTGCCGAGTCTTTTGCTTTCATAGGGAGTGATTCTCATGTGCAGGTTTGGTACCAATCCCTCCAGGACCTTCCAAGTGTATATTATCATGCATCTCTCTTGCCTGCGTTCGAGGGAATACAGATCAAGGACCTTCAACAGTTCCCAGTAGTTTAGGTGCCTTATTGCACTTATGTGTGCGATGTAAGCTATGGCTTACATCTCTATGTCAGAAATGAGGATGAGGAATAGAATGGGAGCGAGTACTGTGCCTTGTGGAACAGAGCTTTTTACCATGGTTGCCTGGGGACATTACCCTGTTTACTTAAATTGTTTGTGTTCTATTGTCAGGAAGTTGTAGATACCATCTACCAACTTTACCCCCCTCCCACACAAAAAAAAAAGTGCATTCCTTTTAAATAACGACTATACAGTCAACAACAAAAATTATCAAAAGAATAGAAATATTCAGCTAGCATTAAGTTTTTGATTACACAGTATTTATCCAATGTGTAAAACAAGACTACGGTTACAAACTTGAAATTGCAATATTTACTCTAAGCTCTCAAAAACAGGACAATATAAAGCAAACCATACCACGGGCAGGGATAGAACCCGCGATCTGAGAGTCTCAAAACTCCAGACACGGGTTCTATCCCACCCATGGTATGGTTTGTTTGCAATCGTGTCATTACGATTTCGCGAGTCAATATAAAGCAACTTTGACCTACCTTGGTATACTTGATTTCAGGATTCCTGAGAGCCATTATCCACTCCTGTCTGCAAGGAAGATAAGATAAGATTTCGTTCGGATTTTTAACCCCGGAGGGTTAGCCACCCAGGATAACCCAAGAAAGTCAGTGCGTCATCGAGGACTGTCTAACTTATTTCCATTGGGGTCCTTAATCTTGCCCCCCAGGATGCGACCCACACCAGTCGACTAACACCCAGGTACCTATTTGCTGCTAGGTGAACAGGACAACAGGTGTAAGGAAACGTGTCGGAATGTTTCCACCCGCCGGGAATCGAACCCGGGCCCCCCCGTGTGTGAAGCGGGAGCTTTAGCCACCAGACCACGGGCCACCATCAGAAATAATTCATAATAGTAATACAGTGTATAATAATGATGATAATACTGTAATTAGTAAATTGTGATACATAATGAATAAATAATAATAATACTATTATTATAATTATGATTACTAGATGTGTTATACAAGTTGGAGTCAGAACTGAATTGGGAAATGGGAAGAAATTAAGTTTGAAATAAGGAAGGTGAGAGTGGCTCTATATACAACAAAAAAAAAAAATGAATTAGGTGCCAAAAAGACCTTAGAAAAAATGCAAAATTCAGTCATACTGGCCAAGTCTCCATTTTCATTAGACTTTGCACATAGAAGTCAAATTGAAAATGCATCACAGGATTATGTTCTAAATGAACTTACTGAAATTTCCACATCCAAATCATTTTTTAATATAGTTTTTCTTATGAATGCTGTACAGTGCAACATTATGAAATAAATTGGCCATCAAGATCAAATTTTCTCATAATATTATACTGCAATATAAAGTTGCACATTATTATAATAGCCAGTACAAAAGGCATTAGTCCTTATGGAAAGAACTTGGTCTTGTATTAAATACTAGCGGTCTACAGAACTCTTTCTTATATACATATATATATATAATTCATAGTCCATGATGAATAGTCAACAAATTACGTCATCTCGCAGTTCTGTGGCTTGGTCGATAACGCACTCGCCTCACACACTGAGTGTTCGTGGTTCAATCCCCAGCAAGGGTGGAAATATTGGGCATGTTTCCTTACACATACTGTCCCTGTTCACCTAGCAGTAAGTAGGTACCTGGGTGTTAGCCTCCTCACATCTGCTGTCCTTGCTCGCCTAACAGTATTTAGGTACCTGGGTGTTAGTGGACTGGTGTGGGTGGCATCCTGGGGTGCAAGATTGAAGGATCACAATGGAAATAAGATAGTCCTTGATGACACACTGACTTTCTTGGGTTATCCTTAGTAGCTAACCCTCCCCTGGGTTATCTTGAGTGGCTAACACTCCCCTGGGTTATCCTGGGTGGCAACACTAACCCTGGGTTATCCTGGGTGGCAACACTCCCCCTAGGTTACCCTGGGTGGCAACACTAACCCTGGGTTATCCTGGGTAGAAGCACTAACCCTGGGTTATCCTGGGTGGCAACACTCCCCCTAGGTTACCCTGGGTGGCAACACTAACCCTGGGTTATCCTGGGTGGCAACACTAACCCTGGGTTATCCTGGGTGGCAACACTCCCCCTAGGTTACCCTGGGTGGCAACACTAACCCTGGGTTATCTTGGGTGGCAACACTCCCCCTAGGTTACCCTGGGTGGCAACACTAACCCTGGGTTATCCTGGGTGGCAACACTCCCCTAGGTTACCCTTGGGTGGCAACACTACCCTGGTTATCCTGGGTGGCAACACTAACCCTGGGTTATCCTGGGTGGCAACACTCCCCCTAGGTTACCCTAGGTGGCAACAATAACCCTGGGTTATCCTGGGTGGCAACACTAACCCTGGGTTATCCTGGGTGGCAACACTCCCCTTAGGTTACCCTGGGTGGCAACACTAACCCTGGGTTATTCTGGGTGGCAACTCCCCCTAGGTTACCCTGGGTGGCAACACTAACCCTGGGTTATTCTGGGTGGCAAGAGTAACCCTGGGTTATCCTGGGTGGCAACAGTAACCCTGGGTTACCCTGGGTGGCAACACTAACCCTGGGTTACCCTGGGTGGCAACAGTAACCCTGGGTGGCAACACTAACCCTGGGTTACCCTGGGTGGCAACAGTAACCCTGAGTGGCAACACTAACCCTGGGTGCCAACACTAACCTTGGGTGGCAACAGTAACCCTGTGTGGCAACAGTAACCCTGGGTGGCAACAGTAACCCTGGGTGGCAACACTAACCCTGGGTGGCAACACTAACCCTGGGTGGCAACACTAACCCTGGGTGGCAACACTGACCCTGGGTGGCAACACTGACCCTGGGTGGCAACACTAATCTTGGGTGGCAACACTAACCTTGGGTGGCAACAGTAACCCTGGGTGGCAACAGTAAACCCTGGTGGCAACACTAACCCTGGGTGCAACATAACCCTGGGTGGCAACACTAACCCTGGGTGGCAACATAACCCTGGGTGGCAACATAACCCTGGGTGGCAACACTAACCCTGGGTGGCAACACTAACCCTGGGTGGCAACACTAACCCTGGGTGGCAACACTAACCCTGGGTGGCAACACTAACCCTGGGTGGCAACACTAACCTTGGGTGGCAACACTAACCTTGGGTGGCAACACTAACCCTGGGTGGCAACACTAACCCTGGGTGGCAACACTAAACCCTGGGTGGCAACATAACCCTGGGGTGGGAACACTAACCTGGGTGGCAACACTAACCCTGGGTGGCAACAGTAACCCTGGGTGGCAACACTAACCCTGGGTGGCAACACTAACCCTGGGTGGCAACACTAACCTTGGGTGGCAACACTAACCTTGGGTGGCAACAGTAACCCTGGGTGGCAACACTAACCCTGGGTGGCAACACTAACCCTGGGTGGCAACGTAACCCTGGGTGGCAAACACTACCCTGGGTGGCAACACTAACCCTGGGTGGCAACACTAACCTTGGGTGGCAACACTAACCTTGGGTGGCAACACTAACCTTGGGTGGCAACACTAACCCTGGGTGGCAACACTAACCCTGGGTGGCAACAGTAACCCTGGGTGGCAACACTGACCCTGGGTGGCAACACTAACCCTGGGTGGCATCACTAACCTTGGGTGGCAACACTAACCTTGGGTGGCAACAGTAACCCTGGGTGGCAACACTAACCCTGGGTGGCAATAATAACCCTGGGTGGCAACACTAACCCTGGGTGGCAACAGTAACCCTGGGTGGCAACACTAACCTTGGGTGGCAACACTAACCTTGGGTGGCAACACTAACCTTGGGTGGCAACAGTAACCCTGGGTGGCAACACTAACCCTGGGTGGCAATAGTAACCCTGGGTGGCAACACTAACCTTGGGTGGCAACACTAACCTTGGGTGGCAACACTAACCTTGGGTGGCAACAGTAACCCTGGGTGGCAACACTAACCCTGGGTGGCAATAGTAACCCTGGGTGGCAACACTGACCCTGGGTGGCAATAGTAACCCTGGGTGGCAACACTAACCCTGGGTGGCAATAGTAAACACCTGGGTGGCAACACTAACCTTGGGTGGCAACACTAACCTTGGGTGGCAACAGTAACCCTGGGTGGCAACACTAACCCTGGGTGGCAACACTGACCCTGGGTGGCAATAGTAACCCTGGGTGGCAAACACTAACCCTGGGGCAATAGTAACCTGGGTGGCAACACTAACCTTGGGTGGCAACACTAACCCTGGGTGGCAACAGTAACCCTGGGTGGCAACACTAACCCTGGGTGGCAATAGTAACCCTGGGTGGCAACACTAACCTTGGGTGGCAACACTAACCTTGGGTGGCAACAGTAACCCTGGGTGGCAACACTAACCCTGGGTGGCAACACTAACCCTGGGTGGCAATAGTAACCCTGGGTGGCAACACTAACCTTGGGTGGCAACAGTAACCCTGGGTGGCAACACTAACCCTGGGTGGCAATAGTAACCCTGGGTGGCAACACTAACCCTGGGTGGCAACACTAACCCTGGGTGGCAACACTAACCCTGGGTGGCAATAGTAACCTTGGGTGGCAACACTAACCCTGGGTGGCAACACTAACCTTGGGTGGCAACAGTAACCCTGGGTGGCAACACTAACCTGGGTGGCAACACTAACCCTGGGTGGCAACACTAACCTTGGGTGGCAACAGTAACCCTGGGTGGCAACACTAACCTTGGGTGGCAACAGTAACCCTGGGTGGCAACACTAACCCTGGGTGGCAACACTAACCCTGGGTGGCAACACTAACCTTGGGTGGCAACACTAACCCTGGGTGGCAACACTAACCTTGGGTGGCAACAGTAACCTTGGGTGGCAACACTAACCCTGGGTGGCAACACTAACCCTGGGTGGCAACACTAACCCTGGGTGGCAACACTAACCTTGGGTGGCAACAGTAACCTTGGGTGGCAACACTAACCTTGGGTGGCAACACTAACCCTGGGTGGCAACACTAACCCTGGGTGGCAACACTAAGCCTGGGTGGCAACACTAACCCTGGGTTATCCTGGGTTGGCTAACACTCCCCCTGGGTTTCTCGATCTTTCTGGATAATAAGGACGGTTACAGTGGACAGCATCTAGAGACACTTCCAGTGGATACCGTATTAGTGAACCTCTTAAGTAAGTTTATTCAGGTATACACAAATACAGTTACATAGAATTATCATACATATTATTATTATTATTATAATCAAGGGGGAAGCGCTAAACCCGGAGGATTATACAGCGCCTGGGGGGGATGTGGAAGGCATTCAGGCTTAATTCAGGGAACTGGAGCACAGATCCAATTCCCTAAATCAAGAGCCCCTCACCAACATCAAGGAACCTTCCTTGAGGGGATTATCATACATAGCAACATATGTGTAGACAACCTGGGATAGCACAAAAAAGTCAGAGTGAATTTTTTTTTCCATTGGAGTCCTTTTACCTTATTATTATGAAGGTTATAATATTTTCTTATTATTCTATAATGAAGATAACATATTATTATACTAAAAAGACTATCTACAATACGAGGGTCATTACTAGGAATAAGGTAAAATTTACACGTATGTTAGCTAAAAAATAGAAAATCATTGCCCTCCTTTTCTGTAGCTACATTCATCAGACACCAGAGGCGCTATGTGTACCCCTAACAACAATATTCAATACATCTATCGAAACAGGGAGATTGCCTGAGGCATGGAAGACAGCAAATGTAGTCCCAATCTTTAAAAAAGGAGACAGACATGAAGCATTAAACTACAGACCAGTGTCACTGACATGTATAGTATGCAAAATCATGGAGAAGATTATCAGGAGAAGAGTGGTGGAACACCTAGAAAGGAACGATCTCATCAACAGCAGCCAACATGGTTTCAGGGACGGGAAATCCTGTGTCACAAACCTACTGGAGTTCTATGACATGGTGACAGCAGTAAGACAAGAGAGAGAGGGGTGGGTGGATTGCATTTTCTTGGACTGCAAGAAGGCGTTTGACACAGTTCCACACAAGAGATTGGTGCAAAAACTGGAGGATCAAGCAGGGATAACAGGGAAGGCACTACAATGGATCACGGAATACTTGTCAGGAAGACAGCAGCGAGTCATGGTACATGGCGAGGTGTCAGAGTGGGCACCTGTGACCAGCGGGTCCCGCAGGGGTCAGTCCTAGGACCAGTGCTGTTTCTGGTATTTGTGAACGACATGACGGAAGGAATAGACTCTGAGGTGTCCCTGTTTGCAGATGACGTGAAGTTGATGAGAAGAATTCACTCGATCGAAGACCAGGCAGAACTACAAAGGGATCTGGACAGGCTGCAGACCTGGTCCAGCAATTGGCTCCTGGAGTTCAATCCCACCAAGTGCAAAGTCATGAAGATTGGGGAAGGGCAAAGAAGGCCGCAGACGGAGTACAGTCTAGGGGGTCAGAGACTACAAACCTCACTCAAGGAAAAAGATCTTGGGGTGAGTATAACACCAGACACATCTCCTGAAGCGCACATCAACCAAATAACTGCTGCAGCATATGGGCGCCTAGCAAACCTCAGAACAGCATTCCGACATCTTAATAAGGAATCATTCAGGACCCTGTACACCGTATACGTTAGGCCCATATTGGAGTATGCGGCACCAGTTTGGAACCCACACCTAGCCAAGCACGTGAAGAAACTAGAGAAAGTGCAAAGGTTTGCAACAAGACTAGTCCCAGAGCTAAGAGGTATGTCCTACGAGGAGAGGTTAAGGGAAATCAACCTGACGACACTGGAGACAGGAGAGATAGGGGGACATGATAACGACATACAAAATACTGAGAGGAATTGACAAGGTGGACAAAGACAGATGTTCCAGAGATTGGACACAGTAACAAGGGGACACAGTTGGAAGCTGAAGACACAGATGAATCACAGGGATGTTAGGAAGTATTTCTTCAGCCACAGAGTAGTCAGTAAGTGGAATAGTTTGGGAAGCGATGTAGTGGAGGCAGGATCCATACATAGCTTTAAGCAGAGGTACGATAAAGCTCACGGCTCAGGGAGAGTGACCTAGTGGCGATCAGTGAAGAGGCGGGGCCAGGAGCTCGGACTCGACCCCCGCAACCTCAACTAGGTGAGTACACACACACACACACACACACACACACACACACACACACACACACACACACACACACACACACACACACGCACACACACATACACACACACACACACACACACACACACACACACACACACACACACACACACACACACACACACACGCACACACACACACACGCACACACACACACACGCACACACACACACGGATAAATTAGTGTCGGTTGTCAAGTTGACGACTCAATCTTCCATATGGTGCTTGAGCCATCCATGGTGCGAGTCTGGGTACTGGTCCCTCCATGGTGGGAGTCTGGGTACTGGTCCCTCCATGGTGGGAGTCTGGGTACTGGTCCCTCCATGGTGGGAGTCTGGGTACTGGTCCCTCCATGGTGGGGGGCTGGGTACTGGTCCCTCCATGGTGGGAGGCTGGGTACTGGTCCCTCCATGGTGGGAGGCTGGGAGGCTGGGTACTGGTCCCTCCATGGTGGGAGTCTGGGTACTGGTCCCTCCATGGTGGGAGTCTGGGTACTGGTCCCTCCATGGTGGGAGTCTGGGTACTGGTCCCTCCATGGTGGGAGTCTGGGTACTGGTCCCTCCATGGTGGGAGGCTGGGTACTGATCCCTCCATGGTAGGAGGCTGGGTGCTGGTCCCTCCATGGTGGGAGGCTGGGGTACAAGTCCCTCCATAGAGGGGTCCTGAAGGAAAGCTGGGGTTCTGGTCCCTCCATGGAGGGAAGCTGGGGTACTAGTCCCTCCATGGAAGGGACCTGGAGGGAGGCTGAGGTCATGGAGGGGGTCTGGAGGAAGGTTGGGGTCACCAGGGGGTCTGGGGTCATAGAGGTGGAAACAGAGAACACAAGCAACATGTCCAGCCTCCAAAAGGCTGGAAAATTAAGAGATTTAATACTTTTATTGGTAGGAGTCAGGCAGCCAGCGAGACTGTTGTGACCACCTCCTGCCTCGGAGGTCAACCTCCAGCACGAGATCTACACTAGCCAGCCAATCAGAGTGGAGGATGAACACATCTTGAGTTACTATTGGCTGAGTGAGGGAAGACGCTAGCTATGTCAGGAAGGACAACCTGATGGCTCAATCAAGGTCGGTGCCTTTCATCTCGGGCGGTGACAGGTCACACAAGGTCATTAAGGGCAGGTCACAGGTGAGGCCAGGGCAGAGATACACTTAATACCTCCCTGGAGGCGCCTACCTCACTTTCAAGTGTCATGGGAGTATACCTATTAACGCAGCCTTCCTACACTTCTCTAACACTCTCACCAAATAATAATAATAATAATAATAATAATAATAATAATAATAATAATAATAATAATAATAATAATGTTTATTTCTACCAGTACATGGTACAACTTATACAGACCATAGCTCACACCAATGACATACTGCTATATAGAAAGTCCCTTGTTATGCTGAGCATTTCCTGCAACTTAGGTTAATTTTGTCCCAGGATGCCACCCACACCAGTCCACTACCCCCAGGCTGGCTGGCTGGCTGGCTGGATGGCTGGATGGCTGTCTGGCTGGAAGGCTGGCTGGCTGAAGCTGGCTGGCTGGCTGGAAGCTGGCTGGCTGGCTGGCTGGATGGAGCTGGCTGGCTGGATGACTGGCAGGCTGGCTGGAAGGCTGGCTGGCTGTCTGGCTGGCTGGCTGGAAGGCTGGCTGGCTGGCTGGCTGGCTGGATGGCTGGCTGGCTGGATGACTGGCAGGTTGGCTGGAAGGCTGGCTGGCTGGCTGGAAGGCTGGCTGGCTGGCTGGCTGGCTGGCTGGTTGGCTGGCTGGAAGGCTGGCTGGCTGGCTGGCTGGCTGGCTGGCTGGCTGGCTGGCTGGCTGGCTGGCTGGCTGGCTGGCTGGCTGGCTGGAAGGCTGGAAGGCTGGCTGGCTGGCTGGCTGGAAGGCTGGCTGGCTGGAAGGCTGGCTGGCTGGCTGGCTGGCTGGAAGGCTGGCTGGTTGCCTGGCTGGCTGGCTGGATGGCTGGATGGCTGGCTGGCTGGCTGGCTGGAAGGCTGGCTGGCTGGCTGGCTGGCTGGCTGGCTGGTTGGCTGGCTGGCTGGCTGGCTGGCTGGCTGGAAGGCTGGCTGGAAGGCTGGCTGGCTGGCTGGCTGGCTGGCTGGCTGGCTGGCTGGCTGGAAGGCTGGCTGGAAGGCTGGCTGGCTGGCTGGCTGGCTGACTGGCTGGAAGGCTGGCTGGCTGGCTGGCTGGCTGGCTGGCTGGCTGGCTGGCTGGCACAGCAATATGTTCGTCTCAGCATTACCAAGTGAAGGCTCAATCCTCCCAGGAGGACCCAAGAGGACCCAAGAGGACCCAAGAGGACCCAAGAGGACCCAGGAGGACCCAAGAGGACCCAAGAGGACCCAGGAGGACCCAAGAGGACCCAAGAGGACCCAGGAGGACCCAGGAGGACCCAAGAGGACCCAAGAGGACCCAGGAGGACCCAAGAGGACCCAAGAGGACCCAGGAGGACCCAATTTGACCACCCATTTGAGCACCCATTTGACCATAAACAGAAATATCAATCTCAATCTCAAAATAATGAATCTTAACTAGTCATAAGTTAGCCTGTGATACTCCAATACTGAAACTATGTACTGTGCCAAAACAAAAGCATTCACATTGCTAAACTCACAACTAGTATTTAGTCACTTAGCCATAATACCAACTTATCTCATAATTTTGTAACATTTTAAACCTAAGATTTAAACTAAGTCTGCCCGAAATGCCTAGCCATGCTAGGTGTTCTAGTGGTACACTCTGTAATGCCTAGCCATGCTAGGTGTTCTAGTGGTACACTCTGTAATGCCTAGCCATGCTAGGTGTTCTAGTGGTACACTCTGTAATTATTATTTTACTACATGTAAACCACACAATAACCAAATTCTGTAAACTCAGCATTGTAATCCTTATAGAGAATAAAGTTTGAATTTGAATTTGAAGAGGACCCAGGAGGCCCCAAGAGGACCCAAAAGGACCCAAGAGGACCCAAGAGGACCC